AAGGGACCTTTTCCGCGTGCAACAAAGGAAATAGGAGACGTCTGCACGCAGGCAACCCTTATTAGGCACCTCTTAAATAGAGACAGTTATTTATTGATTTATATCAGACACAATTATTATGTTTAATAAATTCCATGTGACTTAACGTTTGACAGAATTGCTCTCATTGCTGCAGAATTATGGCTCTGAGACATTTTGTGATGTTTATGGACCTCTTTAGAGTGCATTCCGGGATATTGACTCCCGATGGTAAATGTGCACTGATATCACGAACTTTCAGAGGAGCGATAAAGCTTATTAAGACTTATTAACAGTTTTCTACTTTTTTTATGTGTGTAGGAGTTGGATGCTCAAGTGGTACAAATCTTTTTCTGAAGATGAATAACAGTTCGGTGCCAAGCAACACAACTTTATCCCAACAGGTCGACAAAAGGGTCGTTACGTGGTGTGTGACATATGCGATCGTTGCAATAACAGTCATTTTGAACAACGGAGCTGCGATAGCGGCCTTTAGACACTCGCGCCTTCTACGAAAATTTGGAAACTACTTTCTGGTGAATCTGGCCGTTGCAGATCTAATGGTGGGAACCATCGCTTTACCGATGTACATTCATTTAATTTACAACTATAACAAGCCTTCGCTTCAACCAGTGCAGACAATGCATACAGCTGTTGATGTTTTCTCTGGCATGGCCTCAGCTTTCACATTAACTGCCATCTCTCTTGAGAGGGTATACGCAATTTATTACCCTTTACGACATTGCAGCACATCAAAGACAGCCTACTTTGTCATCTTAGGGGCGGTATGGCTCCTAGCCGGGGCCCTTTCAGGAGCGTGGATACTTACGTTTTTCAAAATCATCCATCCAGGAATCTTTGCGTTTAGCCTTGGTCTGCTATCGATTACCTCTTTAATGCTTATGTTGGCAGCTTACATCGGTTTATGGCTAAAAATTAAACTTTGGAGTAAACACCAACAGGGAATTTCTGGTGAAAGAGAGCGCAGTTTAGCAGTAGCCATCGGAATAGTAACTGTGGTTTTCTTGCTGACATGGACACCATTTCACATCATGAATGTCTTGATAAACTATAAGTCGTCTTTGTTTGATGGATTTCCTTATCTAGTCGTTTACTTCGCGAAACTTTTGCATTACAGCAATTCTTTCGTCAACCCCATTATATATTGCTTTAAAATTTACGAATTTCGTCGAGCTCTGAAAAACTTGCTTACAAGACGCAAAAAACGCAGAGAGACAAAAGTGTAACAACTGTTGCCGTTTAACTGAACCTTTTGCGGTGACTAAAACTAATCGAATCGCGTAGAAAGCTTATATTTAACATCGTACAACTCTACAAGTCACAGTACGATGAAGAAAGCAGAGATGGGAGTTTGCAACGTTCAACTGTTCAACTAGTACTGGGGCCGAGACTAATTTTCCTTTGCCAGACTTTCAAGGATGGTGGCGGTACGCAAACCGCGGTATGCGTGTTTTAAATACTGTACGAAATGAACTGTACCTTTTACCGTAACTAGATATCTCAAAAAAAGACTCCCATGACTCCAACTTTATATGTCTATCTATCTGATATCATTCTCTCTTGCTATCTGCCATTAATTTGGCTCTCCAAAAATTGATGATTCTTGCAAATGAATACGCGTGGAGGTGGACAAATAAGAGGACGAGATAGTTTAATTTTCGCGGAAAGCTTCCGCACTGTACTTTATTCATAAAAAAAGTTAGCACTATTAGTTTGTATTGAGGGGGGTCAAGGCCAAGTCCCGATTGTAAAATGATAAATATTGTAGCATTTAAAAACTTCTTTCCGTCACTACGACATTCTCGCTAAATGACGACGGCTATCATGTTTTCCCGCCAAAATGACGCTAGCTCCCGCGCGCGCACTACTTACTACTAAGAAAATGTCGTTCTCTTAGTCGTCCTCATCTCAGAATCTAAAGTTTTTTAGTTACTGGGGGACCAAGCGGTCTTCTGGGCTCAAAACGGTCACATGATACAAAAAGCACCTTGCTGGAGGGCAAATAACGTAGTCAGCCCTTAAAAAGAATGGATAAACGATGCGAATTCTTCTTTTTTTTCTTGCCCCACTGCGTCGTTATCCATCTTCAAGGTGTTTTTGTCCCATGGGACGGTTGTTATAGACAGAAAGCCAATATTTTTACCTATAATGGTATCTTTTAGGGATGTGCAAAAAGTAATTTCTATCTGTAAAAAAAGATATACAAACAAACAAACAAAAAGACAAAACAATGCCGCCTCACTAGGTTGGTAGCTACGCCCAGCAGCTTGGACTTAGGAGTTTGAAGGTTCACTTATTTTTAGATATAAGCGTATATGATGGACAACGCGTTGATGCGCTGATCATTCAAATCAACGGAGGCACTGTAATCCTATTACTCTGTCTATTGCTTCAGTCACGGATATAGCCACATGCGCTGAATGCACCTAATTATTGATTCCTCAGTCTGGACTTGTTTTGGTTTGTTCGAATACTTTACTTTTAAAAAAGTCTAAAAGTGGCTATATATTTCCATATAAAGCAAACAAAAAGATAGCATGAGACAAAGGCTTTCCGTTTCTTAATTAATTTCTGTTAAAACTAATCACGTTGAAAGCATATTGTTAATGAAATTTACACACTAACATCTCTTATTTACACCATTTCTACTTAAACTGCGCCAAAAACAAATGATCGAAATATGTGTCAAGACCCTAACTTGACAAGTTCGTAGTGGTCACAAATAATAATTCCCATATCCGTTAAACCGTCGGTAATCCGATCCGTTAGTTAAAGTGCACCAGTGCAAAGAATCACTCTCTCATGAAGTACACTAAATTGTAGACCAATAAACCTCGCGATTGCTTGCCAGCATGGTAAAATGCAAAGTTCTGATTTTTCACGTACCCTATAATTTAAGGCCAAACACCGCATCCCGCTGATAATTACTTATTGACGAGTTATCATTTCGGCGTCACAATTAAAATGTTATAGTCAAAAACAATTAAACTGACCACACAATAAGATCAATAAGTCAACAATACTTCGGTGCATGTTACTCCACAGAAATCAATCGAAGCGGTCCTAAACAAATCTGATATTGAACTAAATTTACCTTAAGGATCTGCGTAGACCTACCACCCAGTTCCCTTCTTCTCTGCTAGACTGTAGCATTTCGGACTGAGCAGGGTTTCCTGGTATCTTGGCTAATCTTTGAAAGCCACTTCAAAAGGTGCAATTATACAATCGTACCTATACTTGGCATCAATACATAAAAGAAATTTTTAAAGTATCACAAGTAATAACTTCCAGCATCTTATCGTGCACGTGCTGGGCAGTGAGGCGAATGCCGGCAACGCAACTTGTACATATGACTCAGGCACTTGAGGAGATCTTGCCATGACGTCAGTTCCGAAGACACCACGACAGCCGAAGCTGGTGAACAAACTTAACGCAGGTATTCTGATTGTAAATAAAGACGTACAGCTTGTTCAGGTGTTTCTATTGTAACTATGAATGTTTAGTCTCATATCTGTCTTCCAGGAGTTCAGACTTTATCACTACAGTCGAACCTCGCTATTTCGAACTCGGTTAATTCGAAGTCCCCGCTATTTCGAAGGAAGATCGAATGCCCTTGGATTTACTCTTCCCCTTTACGCTTCCCCGGTTATTTCGAAGCCCCGCTATTTCGAACTTTTTTTCATTTCCCTTGGGACTTCGAAATAGCAGGGTTCGACTGTACTTGCCTCATGCTTTACAGCTTTCAATATCTTAATATACTCATTGTTTTTGAATTACAGATTCCATGTATGACTTTTAACAGTCGTTCTTACATTACAATTTCCACGATATTTGTAACTACATTTACTGGTATTGAATGAACCAAACCAGACTCCTGGCACAGCCCTGCTGCGCTAAACTTTTTTGTCCTGAGTCACGTAAAGAATACTATATAATTATTATAACGTTGCCGAGCAAATGGACATAAATTGAAACAGTTATCTTATACTTGTCCTTAAATTATTGTCATATTTTCTCTTATTTATTCCAGCCTGTTCGTGCATACAGCATTACTAGCAATGAACAATTCAACGTTAGAAACACTTCACCCTTCAAATCACTCTGGAGTTGAGGCATGGTGCGTAACATTTGGCTTCGTGGCGGCTGTAACAGTTGTGGGCAACGCCTTGACCGTTGCAGTGTTCCTAAAAGAGAAACTTCCTCGAAAATACGGTGGTTATTTCCTGATAAATCTTGCAGTAGCAGACTTAATGGTAGGAGCCTTAGCTTTACCCATGTATATATACATTGTGTTGGCCTTTGCTTACTCGCCGTATAAAAGTAATCTTCCGACATTCCATCATATTTACACAGTGGTAGACGTCTTTACTGGGTTAGCATCAGTCTTTACGTTGGCGTCGATCGCGCTCGAAAGACTTTACGGTATTCTTTATCCTTTACAGTACCGATGGAGGGCCACAAAACGAGTTTATTTTATGGCCATTGTCACAGTGTGGGCTTTGTCTGGCACAACGTCTTTGGCGTACATTTTGAGTACACCTACCTTAGTATTCTTGCTACCCGAGAGAACGTTTACTTTCTTCCTCACTGGGGTGTCCATGATTTCACTTCTGGTCATCTGCGCTGCTTATTTGGCTGTTTCTTTACGTATCCACCTGTGGAATAAAAGCAAGATGGAAATATCCTCCTCTAAACAAGAAACTAGACTGGCTGCTGCATTGTTTATTGTCACTGTCATATTTGTGCTTACATGGAGCCCATTTCATATCATGAACATACTTGCTAACTTTACTAAGTCATTCCTAAACAACGTGCCAGTGGACATCATTTTCTTTGGAAAAATGCTTCATTATAGTAATTCCCTCGCTAATCCTGCTATTTACTCTCTTAAAATACCAGAATTCCGAATAGCTGTAAGAAGATTGTTTTGCAAAAATTGGGTGCGCGAGACGAGGGTATAATCCTGTTAGATCCCCTGGCGTGTTCAATCGATAAAATTGATAATCGATACTTTTCGATAAACATCAATAACAACCAGTCGACTGTATCGGAAGTCAATAAAAGGATCTGATGTGAGTAATCGATAATTTTCGATTTTTCAATCATTGTTATCGATTTTATCGAAAAATATCAGTTTTGTCGACACATAACATCGACTGAAGATATTAAACCATAGGTAGCCCAAGCTCGAAATATGAGCATCAGCGAGCATCGACATTGCCAGTTGCGTAACATTCAAAATATAAGGATTTGTATGGGAAAAATAACCTATCGTTTCTGTAACCTACGAAAATGAAAGGATATCAGTAAAAAACAGCTTACGTTACTTAAAATGTGTGTTACGTCTCTCCTGTGTGGTCCACGGGCCGATTTATGACCGTTTTATGGGTTTTTTCATAAAAACCCATAAAACCATTAACCGCCCTAAGCGCTTATTAAATTTTTTGACCTTGAGGCTGGGCGCTTATTCAGAGGCTGGGCGCACCATTTTCAGTAAGCGTAGTAAGTTTTTTTTTTTTTTTTTTTTTTGCAACAAAACAATAAATGGCAATAACAAAACGCGAAGATGTATCAAAGCAAAGTTTCTGTAAAATACTCTGAAGGAAACAAGTCTCTTATCTGCAGGTGGGCGCTTATTAACTTTTTCTGCCTTTAGGATGGGCTCTTATTCGAGGTGGGCGCTAATTCGGGGTTGGGTGCTTACTCGAATAACTTCTTTCACACTATACCCTACACCATACCGTATAGCTTTATCGTACCGCGGGCGCGGTTGGCAGAGAGGGCTTGGGAGCGCTAAAATTCCAGTCCTCACTCCAAAATACTTACTTCCGTCTTCGTCGGTTGCAGCCCTCGCTCCTACTAATTTAGGTCCGCGACGGGCCGAACAGGAAGGTTCCCCTAATAGGTTTTTCAGGATCCGGGATTTGCGTCATCTATAGACCGGGATTCGGCCGGGATTTCAAGACAAAATGGATGGGGGATGCCATCGGGAGTAAAAGATTGAGGGAAAGTTTGGGTCGGGATGACGGGAATAAAGAACCCTGTTGGGGACAATTGAATAGGTGACACTGCATGAAAGTTTGGTACAAAAGCTATATCCCATATGTGACGCTCCAATTTCGAGACCGGCGCGGCCCGGCTTCGATCCGTCTTGTGTGTAAACAGAAGCCCTATCCGGTATGTGGCAGCGCAAACTGCTATCTGGTGTCTGCGTAACATAACCTCAGTGTTTCGAAAAAATATATATGTAAAACATAAACCCGAGTCGCAGATGTAAAACGGCAAAGACAGGTAAAGAATTATAAAAGGTGACTTTAAAACGTTATTCCAAACACAAAGCCATTAAGATAAATAAGTTGCTAGCAACTCTCACCGGAGCCGTGCGTATGAAAGACGTAAAAATTTAACTTGTTTTTGATGTTCGTTTGATTGTTTGTTTGTTTTCGTTATTGCTGTCGTTATGTTGTTCTACATAACTCATCAGCGATTTCATGTAAAACTCTCTTTGGTCGAACGTCATCTCCTACGGCACTTTTCTTCTTTTTTTTTTTTTTGGCTTGCTCACGCCAAGCAAATAGGCCGGTTTAAAGGAAACAAATCGACAAAAATTATCCGCTCTTTACTCTTGACTTATCATGAATCAGAAATGACGCCAAAATAGAACTCAAAATCTTCAACACTTTGCATCAGTAAATCCACTCCACTGCGGTTTCTTCAGTGGTTTCACTTGAGTTTTTAACATTTTCAGTGAAGTGTCTTCGGTAACCGAGGAGTTGTGTACGTAGCGGATTTTCTGGATGGCAGGAAGCGGACCTATTGTATTGGGAATAGCATAATACCGAGCAAGAAAAGGAAAAAATAAATAGAAGGCTTTTATTAGCGTAGATACACGGAATTTGCATATCGCACCGCTAACAAAAAAAATCATTTAAAATTATCTCTGGAAAAAATCATTTGAGGGAACACATTCAATTTTAAGAAGTTTGATTTTTAATATACACGTGCACTTTCTACAAGATTATTTGGGATTATTATTATTATTATTTTTTTATTTTTTTTTTTCACAAACTCTCAGACCCCAGTAGGAAAGCAAATATCCTGTGTGTCTTTCACAAAGCAACATTAATTAAACAATCTTTCGGATGAATAAAAACAACTTTATTTGCGAAGAAGGAAATTGTCTTGACTCTTGCTGCTAACGGAATCAGTGATGGTTAAGGTGATCTTCGAAGCGCAGTATCCATGAACTGGGGGTTTAGCGCACGAGTTTTTTCACGTTTTGCTTTTTGTAGAAAGTAACAAATCAGCATTGAGTAGCCAGTAAACAAACGACGTCGGCTATTATTATAATGATAAAACTGTGCCACAAAAAAATGATAGTAAATAATAAAAAAATAATTCTATAAAACAATACTATTATAATGACAAAAAATAAGAGCTTCGTAAGCCAAAGCTTCAGTTTTAACTTCAATAATAATAATAAAGATTGAGGAGAAACCAGAGAAAAAAAACGTATCCAGCGATTACTCCATGAGTCATAATCTACAGATTCGCCCCTGGGACAGAATTACGTTATTTGAATTGTGTTAATTTAGTTTGCAAATATTGCAGTCGCTCGCATTGCATTCGGTTTTAGACCTCTCCCCACCTCGACTGATTAAAAGCGGTTGCTTCTGAAAGTTCTGATCACATTATTTTCTGTTGGTTTCTTTGTGAATACGTGACAGTTTTAGAAGGTTGTAACACTGGGATCGCTCGGTCCGTAATGGCCTACTGGAGCAGTGGAAGGAATAAGGGTTAGTTTAGTTTTTTGGTGTGCATGTGCGGTTTCTACATCCTCTCTGTGAAGAGCCAAGGGAAGATGATTAAGTTTGTTATGCGTGTGACTCAGAACTTGGCATTTAAAACAATACACCAACACCGGGCTCGAGCGACTTGCCGGCCTTCACCAAAGGCGGCACAGCGACGTTCTTTTCAAAAATTCAATTAGCCAGAAAAGCCTATTGTTCATGCAGGTAAACTAACACTAAATGACATAAAATGTATTATAAGCAGATCAGTAATTTGCATAATCAGCACAACGCGGTCGCGAGCCCATCTCAGCGGAAAACAACAATATAAATCCTTATAATATGAAGCAGTATAGCTGATCTTAAGTTGACCTAGCCTGTACTGTTTTACAAGAGTGGCACTCCTCGACTGCAATGTTGTGTAGGTAAGGCACCATCCCTTTCACCCTTGTTATTACCTTCGTACTTCCATGTATACAACTAAAGAGCACATAGCACCTCTACTAAGGTAGTAATCGCTCTGCTCAAAACGTTCTTTTCCTTCACTGATAACAATTGGCCTGACTGAACAGATATCCTTTCAGTTGTGGGTGTTCTTAGATCGAACGTTTGGGAACAATGTGAATCCGAAAGGGAGCCATCAACAGCGTACGCGGTCTTTTATATTTGCCGCATTGGTGTTTATCTGAGACTGATAATCGATCGTTTGTGGCGGAGGAAATTGTTCTGATCCCTATGAGTTACCATAGAATATTAAGTGGAGCCATTACTTCGCGCGATCATCTTCAGCGCGTATAATTCATGCACTAGAGGACCCCAAAGTGGTATTGATCGTCAAGTTGCTAGGGCTCGATGTTAACACATACGCCCACTTTTTTATTTTTGTTTTTCAGTACATGACTGTCATGGACAAATTGTATAAATTTTGAGACCACTTTTATTAGTAGGTTGAAAGACTTATAACCAATTTCTCTTTCTCCCTAAACACTGACATGGCTGTTCAGTTATGTGTTCGGTATCGTTCAAGAGCTCAAGTATCAGAAAATCATTTGCAAAGCTGTATTTTGTCGAGATTGTGACTTTGTAGATGACACAATACACAACAATACCGGAGGCTGCATGTATGGTATCCATGAGTTCCGCGTTTACGTTTGAAATAACGGCAGCGATTGACTCTATGCGCAAGTAAACAAGACGCATTTAGTACTTCATGATCACTCTCCGAAAATTTTTCAGCGCAACTTTAAATACAGGATTCGAAAAAAAAAAAAATACTTTAACCAGTCCCTACTCCTTCGGTACATATTTTTATTTGTATCTTTTTCTTTAAGTGACAGTGACAATATGACAGAGTTCCAGCGCTTAGTGTATTGAAAGGATTCGATGCTACCAAAATCTACTGGTTTAGATTCAATGGTACAATTATAGTTTGCTTGCTTGGGTCAGCTGACCATGAGTATCAACAGCTGCTCAGTTTCCGAAACTCCATTGAATGAGGTGCTGTATTTAATAAAGTTTACAGAGCAGTGGGAATATACCTTTTAAACGTTTTAAATCGACTTCGGTTTACGTTCAACGTCATTGTTTTGTAAATATGTCCTTGTGGCTTTTAAAATCACAATTTCATTCTCTTCGATATTTATAGCTGACAAAGAAAAATAGAACTGAGGGAAGAGAAGTTAGGGCTGAATGAAAAAAAGGATAACAAACAAGACATTCATGTACTTAATCGTACCTGGCTTTTGCAAGACGTGATTGTCTATTTTAAGACATGGCTAAAACGAAATTAAATATTCATTGGTAATGCCCTGTTTAGTCTATTTCATGAACGTCGATCAATCCATCGAATTTTTTTCATATTACTGTGCCGTTCCGGTCTTGTGTTTTCACTTGAAGGCAATTTCGATTACCATTGACGTATTTCTGTTTGCAAGTTGTCGGTTATGAAGAGAAGTGTACACGAATGTACCATGGTGTTTAAGCTTGCTTTCATGAAATAGTATTGGCTAGATCGATCGCTATGCAGTGAAGAGAATATTCCTGGTTGTCAGTAGACTTTCTTAAGAACAAATCGGAAATGGTGTATTCGAACTTTGAAAACTGTTTCAAAGAAATCACTATGCACTCACTCACGATTCTACAATTTCCGGATCTAAAGTTGAAATTTGTAG